ACTTTCAGGGATCACCATTCCTGCTCATATCTGACAAAGGGAGCTATGACTCTTGAAAGGTTATACCCTGGAAATCCTGTTGGTCTTTAAGGTGCTCCTGGACTCAAATCTTGAATTTGTAGGTTCCCACCTTCTTGAACTTTTCATGCTGAATTAATGATGAGGCAAGATCAGCTGCCAAAGGGGTCAAATTCAGCAATTGCAACTCACCATATGGGCACTCAGTTGTTCCCGGGCAGTTTCCGGCAGCCCGCCTGTTGGTTTGGAGGCCGACAGCTGGTTCTCCATCCTCGTGAGCCATAGGAGGAAGTCTTCAATTTCACCATGGAAACCCTGAGCCTGCAAAAGAATGCAAAGTGCATCATGGACCATTTCTTGATTTGAACATCTGCATCCCACCTCTTCCTGGAAGCTTCAAGGCAAGGGCCAGGATTTAAAAGGAGAGGAAGAGAAATACATGTTGAAGAAGCAACATAAAACATTGCCAAATGAAACTATCATCCCAGCCTCTTCTCAGTGGGACTTTACCAGTTCTTACGGAATTTTACATGTATCTTGAAAATTACACTGTCAAGTAAGATTGAGATTCTTACAATGGCTACTAAATGTGAGCCTATGTTGGCTTGCTAAATTTTACAGATGTTATATTCCTCCCTAACACCCACCCCAGCACTGTAAATCTGTTCTTTGACCTGCTGATCTCTAAGCAACCTTATCTCAATCAAGGAACTGTGTCATCCTTATCTTTCAGGAAAAGCGTAGAAGGTTTGTTTTCCTTATGCCCCTCTTAAGAATGTAGGATGTACTCTAAACAAAGTGTAGAGTGAATTATTTTTGAGAATGGAATTGATTAAGTCTTTTCTAAATACCAGGCCCTGAACTCTTTGTTTTGTCTCAGCCTATAAAAGAAGAACTTTGTATGTTCTTTATGCCAGCCTGTTAGTGAGGCTTGGGCACTCTGACAAACTTGCATCAGAATGATCATTCTTAATAAAGCTGCATGATTTTTTGGCGAAAAGCCTTGAGTGAATCTTTTCCTCTTCCCAGATAGAACTTTGGAAAGGGGGGTTATGCTAGAGTTTGAAAACTCCCCTAACACCAGCTTAGCACTGACCACCAAAAGCCACTAAAGAAATCCCGACAAATTTCTGAGAGACTCTGGCTTTAATAATATTTAGCAAGGGTCATTTCCTGCAGGAGCGCACAGGAGCAGACCTCCGGCAGTAAAGAGCCAAGGGGGCTGGCACATGCAACAAGCCCCACCCCCTGCTCTCAGCAGCCCTCAGTCAGAGCAAGAAGCAGCCAGGTAAACTGCAGAGCCCCCTTGCCCCCAAAACAGTCCAGTGGCACCTTTAAGACCAAGTTTTATTCAGGTACAAGCTCTCCCTCCTCTGCGAGGACAGATCTGCACATCCCCCCCCCCCCAAATAGCTAGCAATCCAAAACAGTCCAGTGGAGCCTGAGCGGTGAGTGTTGCCTTCTGACACACTTCCGGTGATGTCAGGGGGTGTGGCATATGCAAATGAGTTATGCTAATGAGTTATGCTAATGAGCCCCTGCACCTCTTTTTCTATGAAATGACCCCTGATATTTAGGATTATAAATCCAAATTACTAGACAGTGGCTGAGTATGTGCATGCAGCGGCAGTCCCTGGTTAACACTGACAAGAAAGATTAATCACATTGCAAGAGAACATCAACTCAGGTAAACTGCGGAGGCAAAAGCCTTGTGCCAGATTATGGTGACCCACCTGCTGAAGGGTCATCTGCAACTGCTGTTCTCGTTCCTCCGTCTTCTGCAGCACTGACTCCCAACAGGCATTCATCATCTCCAGCCGGTTCCGGAGGCTACTGGCATCGTCTCCTGCGCTGGATTCCAGGAGCTCATTGCCAGCTTTGTTTACTGTCTCCACTGTGGCTTGGTGGGCCAACACATCGTTTTTCAGCACCTTCATACGGCATCAGGAGCAGAGGAGAAAACAAGATATGCTTTAAAGCTGCGTATATTTCGTGCTCGCTTCGGCAGCACATATACCAAAGCTGCGTATATTTCCACCCCACTTTTGAAGGAGGATGGATAAACCTCCAATCCCCACAAGTTGCCACCTCGGGACTCTGACAATGCCAAGAAATGAGCTTTCCTTTTCAAGAGACCCATCTCTGCTGCTTCATGTGCTCTGCAGCTCTAGCATATGAACTCAGGACCAAGGACAAGTGAAGATGATATTTGGGCTTGGACCATAAATACTGTCTCTGGTGGGGGCCAGTCATTCTTGCTCCCGTGCCATGTGTGTCCCAGTAATGGATGTCACACGCGTCACTAATCAAGCAAGCACTTATCAGGGTTATTTGTTTGTTTATTTTATTGGACTTGGACTTGTATCCCCGCAAGCTGGCTCAGGGCAGGTTCCAACAATATTAATATACAATTAAAATCCCCTTTAAAACAACAGATTAAAACAGCACATAATCATAAAATACCATGTAAAATCAGATTAGATGTCTTAGCGATTAAAATGGGACAGGAGTGTGGGTTCCCAGATGGCTGTTCGAATCTGCTGGATGACCTAGGATGCTGTTTGTAAAATATCTCCTGCCCTTCCCTCAAGCAAGATGCAGTGCGGCTGTCCAGTCACAGCAGCAAGGAGGTACCTAAGGTGAGGGAGCACAGGGGAGGCCTAGCTCTTGGGGGGACACTGTGGGTGGAGAGGCAAGGAGGGGCCTTATATTTAGCCAAGGTTGCCTTCCTTGACTGGTAGCAGCTTTCCCAGATCTTTCTGTTGAAGCAGAGATGTCAAGGACCAAACCTAGGGACATGCACAACCAGAGCCAGCGTCCTATCCAGGCCCGTAGCCAGAATTTTTTTGGCTTGTGGGCCACACTTTTTCTGGTGGGGCCGGGGGGCGAACTCCTGTGCAGGGGTGGTTTCCTGTCCTGTTGTTGGTCCCATGTTCAAAACAGGTTAAAAAATCCTGCTGTTCTCTCCAGAGCAGACCAACCCCATCATTTCTGTTATTTAAGAAAACCAGGGAGATTGGTAAAATAGACAGGGAACCCCCCCCCCCAGTATAAAAATACAAATTCTATGTTACTGAATTGATAACTGAAAATCGGGGGAAATTACAGATGTCTCTAGAGTGGCCTTGAGCTGATAAATCACTAAGTTCAAAACAGGGGGGGAAATCCTGCCACTCTCTCCAGAGCAGACATACCTCCCATTATTATTGTTTCTGTTATTAAAGAAAGCCTGAGATTTCAAAAACAGATTGGAAAACCTGTTCCTAACATCCCTTCCTCAGTTTGATATGCCTACCAGGGTTCAATTCAGGTGGATCAGCCGCACTTTTAAAAGAAGTCAGAGTCAGACTTTTAAGCTCTTCCCACTCCCTGATGAGTCTGACAATGCCCCCCCCCATCTGAAGTGTCTACCAGGGTTCAAGGATCAGATGCACTTTTAACAGAAGTGATGAAGAGTTGCGGCAAACTACTGGAAGTTTGGAGACTATTTAAAACGACAATCCTAGAGGCTGAGAAAAAATATATACCGCAGGTTAGGAAAGGCACAAATAGGTATAGGAAAAAGCCTGCATGGTTAACTAACAAAGTAATGGAAACTGTAAAAGGTAAGAAGGATTCCTTTAAGCGGTGGAAAGCTAGTCTCAGTGAGGCTGATAAAAGGGAACACAGGCTGTGGCAAATAAAATGCAAGTCTGTGATCAGGCAGGCAAAAAAGGAATATGAGGAGCATATAGCAAAAACTATAAAGACCAACAATAAAACTTTCTTCAAATACATTAGAAGTAGGAAACCAGCCAGGGAGGCAGTGGAGCCCTTGGATGACCAAGAAGTACTGAAGGATGATAGGGAAATGGCTAAGAAGCTAAATGCATTTTTTGCCTCTGTCTTTACTGTGAAAGATGAGAAGTGCTTGCCCACTCCAGAACCATTGATTTCGGGAGCAGTGTTGAGAGACCTTAGTCAGATTGAGGTGACAAGAGAGGAGGTTCTACGACTGACAGACAACTTAAAATCTGATAAATCACCAGGCCTGGATGGCATACATCCGAGAGTTCTTAAAGAATTCAGATGTGAACTTGTGGATCTCCTGACAAAAATATGTAATCTTTCATTAAAATCTGCCTCCATTCCTGAGGCCTGGAAGGTAGCTAACGTCACTCCCATCTTTAAAAAGGGTTCCAGAGGAGATTCGGGAAATTACAGGCCAGTCAGTCTGACTTTGATACTGGGTAACTTGGTGGAAACTATTATTAAGGAAAGAATTAATAGGCACATAGATGAACAAAAACTATTGAGGAGGACTCAGCATGGGTTCTGTAAGGGAAGATCTTGTCTCAATAAAAAAGGCAGACTCACTAGTGTTCTTTGAGGGAGTGAACAAACATGTGGACAAG